GATGAATCCATTGGAGCCCCAACTGCCCTGCCCTGCCCTACCGAACCCACAATCCCTCTCATCTCATGGGCTTAATGAGTTTAACGTTGAGAGACATTTTGCCCAAGGGAGGCACATGGATGATATCAGAACAGTTGTTTTCACCCAAGTTGAGCTGTAACCCTCGTGCCTAAACGTGGGTTGTGGAATATAATAGCACGCAATGACTAGCCAAACTGTGGGTAACTTAACAAATTACAATTTAATTTGTAATTTGTCAGGAAATATTCAAATAAAAGAGGCAAACTCACAACTCCCTAGAAATTGAAAGGAAAAAAAAGTATATATATACTAGAATAAGGGAACCGAAGGAACCGGCTGTAAACTTGACAGTAGTAATGGAGGAATCACAGCTACAAAACCTACAAATGATCGAATTCTTTAGGGGATTGAATTGATTTTTCTTCTAAATTTTAATATATAACATTGCATTTTATCTGCCTATGATTAGGGCAGTACACATAAACCTAATCACGTTGATTTTTTTTCCTTTTTTTTTTCTCTTTTTATTTACATAATAAATGATAACTTTTCACATCTCTTAACCTATTATATAGGGATAGTATATAACTCAAATTTATAATTTTTCACTTTTGTTAACAAAAGGAGATTATTATTGGTCCATTTAAGTGATTAGCAATGATCATTAACTCTTCACAGAGTGATTAGTAAGACAAAATAAGAAAATTTTGTATATCGATTTTATTTTTATTTAACCTTTCACTTTCGTTTGTAATTCCTCTCGTTTTAAAATAACTCACATATTTAAATTTTTTTCTCAAATTAAAAATTTCAACATAATATTTGTATTTAAATATAATACTTTTAAAAAATAAATAAAAGATAGAATGAGATTTTTTATGGTTGGATAATTAATTAAAGTTAATAGCTAATTAATGATAAGGTTAAAGCAAGAAAAAAATTCTATCTTGAAAAATAAAATAGTGATAATTAGTTTTGAACAAATTCAAAGTAAAAAAATAACAGTTATTTTGAAATGGAAAGAATATTATTATATTTTCTTTGGTTTAGTTAATTGCATTAATTATTAATATAATTTTTTAGATTAATTTTTTTTAGTTGCAATGTTTGAGATTAATTAATGAAAAGGAGTCCATTATATATTGAAACATTACTGTTGTAATTTACAATTCCACTTAACATTATAATTACTTTACTTTTAATTTTCAACAATAATATAATTATAATATTATATAAAATTATAAATTTATAATT